TTCTTTGCCCAGTTTTCTGTTACTTTATTTTTTAATTTTTAGGGGCTTTTTGTATATTTTGTTACGTTTTTTTCCTGAATATTGTTTTCCTTTTGATATTTTAATTGTTTAATCACAGAAATGTTAAAGCTTCAGAATTAAGGTGGAGGAATAAATCTTTAAGGATTGATAGGGAAATTTTGAAAAGTAAAAGTAGTGAGGGTCTTACCAGATATTTAAAGCAGTAAGTTCTCAAGCATTCGTGTACATACAAATCTCATGGATGCCATTTCAAAGTGATCCTGCCACTTGAGTTTTCAATCTATAGGCATTGGGGAGGTGAGGGAAGGGGATAAGACACGTCTGAGGGATCATCTTTATAAAGATTCTCTAGCATAATTCTGATGCGGTTCGTTCATGGGCCGCAGTAGAGAAATACTGCTCCAGATCTGCTACATTTGGAATAGTGTGGTATTAGCACAGCAGTAGACGGATAGATCCAAGAAACAAATAGCATCCAGAAAGCACATCCAAATGTGAGTGAGAACTTATTGAAGGTGACATTTTGGTTGAGAAAAGGGAGGCTTATTTAATAAATGGTTTCAGAAAGTTCCTTTGAAAGATGAACTTACACTACGTAGATAAATAAACTCTGTTGGTTAAAGATCTAAATGGAAAAAATATGCAAAGCTTATGAAAAATGTAGGTGACTGTTAGTTTAGCTTGGGATGGAGGAGGCCTTCTTCACTATGGGAACTAGAAGCTGTGAGGGAGAAGATGAACAGATTTAATTGTCCGACTTTACCTTCTGAAAGGTGATACTCATTCTAGGGTGTGCCAACATCATAAAGTGCCTATGACCAGTTTCCTCCTCCTCTAGATTTTCCATACCCACTCCAGCAAGTAGGATGCAAAAATTTATTTTACTTAGTCTATCTAAGACATTTTAGATGCACAAATGTCTTGTGTGCATATGGCTGGTGCATCTAGGCTGCATCTGATGCCACTGAACACTTACTCCTTGACTCTCCTCTCCTGTGGCTTTTGTGACACTGTCCTCTCCAGGTTCTTGCTGTATTGTCTTTTCCGTGGGATTTGCCTCCTCTCAGTCTTGGCAGGGATTTCCCTTTCAAGTTTTCTTTTTTTTTTATTTTAAAGATTTTATTTATTTATTTTAAAGATTTTATTTATTTTTAGAGAGAGTGGAAGGGAGGGAGAAAGTGAGGGAGAGAAACATCAGTGTGTGGTTGCCTCTCGAGTGCCCCCTACTGGGGACCTAACCCGCAACCCAGCCATGTGCCCTGACTGGGAATCCAACTTGCGACCCTTTGGTTCACAGGCTGGCGCTCAAGCCACTGAGCCACACCAGCCAGGGCTCTCGTGTGTGTGTGTGTGTGTGTGTGTGTGTGTGTGTGTGTGTGTGTTTTAATCAGTGTGCTAAGACTATTCATATTTATTTATCTATTTATTATTTTTATTCCTCACCCAACCTTTACTGGGGATCGAACCTCAACCTAAGTGTGTACCTTGACCAGGAATCGAACCCACAACGTTTTGGTGTATGAATCTATGCTCCAGCCAACTGAACCACCTAACCAGGGCCCCTTTAACATTTTCTGCCCTTGATCTTGGAGATGTCCTAAAGGTTCTCACTGGGCACTTTCATTTTCCATCTCATTATGGCTCCAGTACGTCTGCTCTTCTGGCTCTGAACTTTTTTAAATTTCAGACTTTATGTATTTGAATGACTCACTGGCATCTTAAACCCATTATTTTCAAGAGTTATATTCATCTCCTTTCTACCAACCATCCAACCACTGACCAAACATTCTGTCTTGGTTGAAAGCAGCACAGTATTTCCCTGTCTTTCACTGCCACTGTGGTCATTTGTGACTGGATTCCATTCAGGACTCAGATACATACAGAAGGCCCTCACTGTATTACACAGGAATGTTCCAGCCGTTGGGAAGGGCTGGAGGAGCAGCTGCTGCCGGTGCCCCGCTCTGAGCCATCAGGCGCTGGGAGTCCCAGCTGCTGGCTCCATGCCTCACCACCACCCCAGCCTGCTAACTGGTGTAGGAGTGAAAGGTTATTTCACTTTTTTTAAAATCGAATTTCCTTGCCTCCAGTTTCTGCTGCCTTCAGGTTAGTTTTCCTCCCTATACACTTATTTTCTAAAACTATGCATCTGTGTATGTTAGAAAACAAATTAAGTTCCTTCCCCAGCCTCAAAGCCACAGCAATTGGACCTTTTCAGTTTGGGGCCTTAAACACCTGCCCTCATCTCCTCACCCCGCCCTGCTCTGCTGGGGTGGCTGAGGACTTCCGGAGCCCCTCCTGCTTCTGGTCTGGTTCAGACCGTGTGGTGCCCGTTACTCAAAATCTCTGTTCTTCTCTCCTCCTCCCCCTCAGCCTTGAAGATCCTAAGTTGCTCTTTGTTCTAAGAAGACTCAGAAAATTGTAGAACTAGCCTCCACCTTTCACTATACTCTTCCTCAAGTGCTGTTTACTCTCAGTGATCAGCACCTAGTTTGATTAGCTTTATAGTTTTAGCTCTTGTATGGTCCACTTGGAGTTAATTTTTTTGTGCGGTATAAGAAAGGGGTGTGTTTTTGTTGTTTTACGTCTGGATATCCAGTTGTTCCAGTACCATCTGTTGGACGTGCAAAGACTGATCTTTCACTGGTGGATTCTCGGGTCGCGTTGCCGTGGGCCCGGTGTCCGCAGTGCGAGGGCTTGCTCCTGGCCCTCGGCTCTGTGGCCCTGGCCTGCAGGAGTGCAGGCTGTTCTCGTGCCCCTGCCGGGCTGTCCTGATCGCTGCTGCTTTACAGTGAGCTTGGGATTCAGCTTTGCTGTTTTTCAAGGTTAAATTTTGGCTGTTTCAGCTACTTGGAACTGTCATACGAACTTTAGGATTAGCTTACAGATTTCTGTACAAAGGCCAGCAAAAATTTTGTTAAGAATTGTGTTGAATTTGTGTATCAATTTGGGGAATGTTGCCATTTTAATAGTATTGTCTTACCATAGACAGGATGCTTTTCTGTTTATTTACATCTTAGTATCTTTAAATAATTTTTTGTGGTTTTCACAGTACAAATTTTGTACTTCTTACTGTAGCTGATCTTAAGTGTGGTAAATATTCTTTTCCTAACTTCATATTATGAATATCCATTGCTAGTGTATAGAAATAAAATATTTTTGTATGTTCACCTTACATCCTGCAACCTTTGTTGAATTCTTTGTTGTATTAGTTTTTTAGTGGATTACTTGGGATTTTCTTTTTTTTAGGGGCATTTTAAAACCTTTTTTTATTATGAAGAAAACAATACAGAAAAGTAGAGAGAATAACATGATGAATCTCCACATACTTGCTCCTGAGATTTAACAGTTATTAATATTTAGCCATATTTGATTTACCGGTTTTAACTGAAGTGCCACGATATAAAATGATAGACATTAGGATGCTTTACCCTGAAGTAGCTCAGTGTGTGTGTCTACTCTGCCATCTTGACCGGAGGGTCCCCTGGGGTTTTCTGTATGTATAATCTTACCATCTATAGGTAAAGATACGTTTTTGTGAGACATCATTCTCCTGGGTCATTAAGGTGCATCTGTTCTTGCAGCTCCGACTTCCTGGAGGTGGCAGGCCCTTTGTTTTCACTGTGCCCTCTTCCTCTGCAGGAACCTTCAGGGGCTCCCCATGCCCTTCATGGCAGAAGCCCAGATTCCCTGGACTCATTGTCCAGAGCACTACTCCACACACCGTCAGAAAGCAGCCTGGTGGGGAACAGAGCCCTGGGATCCGCCAGGACTCTTGGCTTTTCACCAGCTGTGTGTGGGCAGATTTGCAGGTGTTTTTATCTTGTGAGACTGCAGAGCTGGACTTTTAATTTTTTAAAGCATTATTATCTTTAGTTCTTTGAACATATTGTAATAGCCATTCTGACGTTTTGTCTGTTAAATTTGACATTTGGGCCCTTTGAAGGATGATTTCTATTGCCTTTTTTCCTCATGTATAAATGGGTCAGGCATTCCTGTTTATTTGCCTGCCTTGTGATTTTTTGGTTTAAGTTGGATATTTAGATGTTTTATAGCAATTTGGAATTCTGATGCTGAATTCTGATTCTTTCCTTCCCTTTTCCACAGCCTCTTGTCTTGCTGGTATTTGCTTGCTTATTTGTTTAGTAATTGTTGGCGGGCCTGTTGCAGTGAAGTTTATCTTTTTCTGCAGCGTGCATCCTCTGTGGCTCTGCAGAGGGCACAGCCTAGTCTGCGTGCTGCGCACAGTGGGGTTTGTCCCTCTCTCCCAGTGACTGTGTAGGCTTCATGAGGGAGAGGACTCAGACTTTTATTCACTGTTAAAATTCCTTGTGCTTCCAATTGTATCTGACACACAGTAGACTTTCAGAAAATTTGATGAATGCGGAGTGTAAGATGACCAAAGTTTACTGCCTTCTTGCTTCCTAGTGTAGAGGCTTAAATTGACGAATATCTAGAACCACTATGGGAAGTGAATTTCACATTTGCTTACTCCAGTTGGCTTGTTGCTGCCTAGAGGGAGGGAGTGGGGGCTCACTGGGAAAGAACACAGAGATGAGCAGTAGCCTGTCCGGGCCCGGGAGAGGAGAGTGTGGTGGATATGCCAGGTGCTGCCATCCTCAATGTAAAGAGACTGAAGAACAGGAAATGGGTACATTTTTGGTCTCCATTCTTTAGCAGGGCTTCTGGCTTGTTCCCTCCTCACCTCTGGGAAGTGTTTGTGGGTACTTGGGGTTAGTTTGGAGAAGCTACCTGTTCACAGAATGATGTGGGAACTTTTTTGTGGCAGCTCCATTGTTAGTAGGTAGGGTACAGACGAGTCTCTTAGGAATGTCAGGCATGGACAGACTGCACTGGGGCCAGTATACTAGCTGCTGCTTGATGGAAAAAAAGAAACTTCATTTGCCTTCCTAATAAGATTTTTTCTTTAAAATTATTTAAAGATGATTTTGAATTAATATTTTTCTTTCTCTTCCTTCTAGATTCTTATGGAAATCTGTTAGTCCTACTTTTTGAGCACTTATGAATAACCACGTATCTTCGGCACCATCTACCATGAAGCTAAAACAGACCATCAACCCCATTCTTTTATATTTCATACGCTTTATAGTATTACTTTATACTATTATAACATACATTCCATATTATTTTTTGTCCGAGTCGAGGCAAGAAAAATCAAACCAAATTAAAGCAAAGCCCGTAAATTCAAAACCCGGATCTGCATACAGATCTGTTAACAGTCTGAATGGCTTGGCCTCAGTGTTGTACCCTGGATGTGACACACTTGATAAGGTTTTTATGTACGCAAAAAACAAATTTAAGGACAAAAGACTCTTGGGAACCCGTGAAGTTTTAAATGAGGAAGATGAAGTACAACCAAATGGAAAAATCTTTAAAAAGGTAAGGCGATGATGATCCGGTGCCTCTGAATTGTCTCTGTATGAAATGTACTTCGGGGAGTGGCGGCAGGGGACCGGCCTGGCCTGCTCCTGTTGGGCCATGCTGACGTGGCAGGGGGAGCAGCGTGGGAAGGGATACACTGTGTGTTCTTACCTCTTTCGTACTTCCCGGCACTGTGTGTATTGTCCTGCGTTTTCACAGAGACGTTGAGAACACCCCTTGGAGGGGGCACTTCTGAATCTGCGTGCCTCCTAGGTCTTGTTCTGGAACATCTAGGGCAGTTGTGGGCATAAAACCCGGAACTCCTGGTAGTTCCAAAAGCACCTGTGTGTGCTTGAGATTGCTCTGGCTTTTAGGGCGCGTGGGAACCACTGTTTCTGATTGTACTGTAGCCTCCGTTGGAACTCACAATGTCTTGGTTCTTTGGTTGTGGCAGTTGCATGGGTTTTAAGGATGTCTTTTCACAGAAGAACCTGCCCTCATCGATTTGAAAGGGGGTCAGACATCCCCCGGGGCAGTGTGACACAGTGGGTGAGAGTCTGGGCTCCACGGCCAGACTGCGAGTGGATTTGCATCTCAGCTGGTGTACTTACTAGCTGTGTGACATAGTTAAAAATTTGCCTCAGTTTTTTTACTTGTAACATGGGGATCACGATCATTGCTGATGTTTATTAGCACTTCTTCGAGCCAGGCTGTTGTAAGAGCTTTGCATATATCAACTTAGTTAAGATGGACAATAGCTGAATGAGTTAGTGGTACCATCCTTACTTTACAGATGACCACAGGGAGGCACAGGTAGGTCGGGTAACCTACCCAAGGACATTACAGCTGCAGGTGGCGAAGCTGGAAGTGGAACCCAGGCTGTCTCCCTCCTTCCCCTTTAAACTAATCCCTGCTCTCACAGTGGTGGAGAGGATTAAGTGAATGTGTCACACACACACACACACACACACACACACACACAGTACAGTTTGTGGCGTCTAGTGTAAAGGCTGTAGTGTTTATTACTATAGCTGGGATTTGGAAAAAGTATGAGTGAATACAGACTAACATGAGGGGGTGCTGCAGCACTGTGAAGGGTAAGTATAGAAATGGCATGAAAATGCTGTTTTTGAACTTGGATACGTGACTTTGTTATAAGCAGTTCCTGAGGTCCCTGTAAGTAAAAATTGAAGATAAAAGTTTTTTAGAGGCAATAAGGTGATCTGTAGTTGCTTGATGATTTGGTCAGGTTATAGGTTTAATACCTGTTTGGCCAAGTTACCTTGTACCCCCTTTTCCCGAACTACATCCTGACTCCAGCTGCTTTTTTTAAATCAGTCATGAAGAAGCTCTCAGGTCTTGGAGGAAAGTCCAAGTAATCACACTAGGGAATAAAATACTCAAGAGTTCTTCCTGTTACTGCAGGACCAAGGGGACGTTGTTTAACCTAATTCATGGTCCTTTAACTTTGGCACTTACCATATGAATTCCATAGTCCTTCTAACCATAAGAGGTGACAAGCAAGTTGATGTCAGTAACTCCCAGAAGTTGCAAACATTGGTTTAACTCGAGGCAGGCATCTGTGAGTATTCCTCAGCTTTAAACAGAGTGATCTTTTCCCTTGTTCTGCTGGGGCAGCCCTGGTTCATGCTCGTTGTTCTGACGCTGTCGGTGCCCCTGACGGTCTCATAAGTGCTTTGGATCATTTTGTGGTCAGTCCACTTTCAAGGCCTATTCCCTGTTTCTTTTACTGACTTAATTTTGACTCACTTAAATGAATTTTTTCTACTAAATTAACCCAAGTTCTAGCTGGAGTTTATAGCACATTTCTAGAAATTGAAGTCATGTGGTTAAGCATGTTTGATTATTCTGTAGCCTATAGGTTATAATTTGCAAAATGTATTTTATCATAACGATGCCTGGTTTTTGTCATATTTAGTTGCCACTTTTTATGGTATATCAGCCTTGATTCTGTCTCTGAGAGATCTTGGAAGTTATAAATGCTGTTTGAATTCAAAGATTGGGTTCTTTTATTTTAAATCTAAGCACGTTATAACAAGTCATATTAAGTAGGAAGCTTATTCTACACATTATAGGCTTATATGGAGCTAGCACCATTTTTTTAGTCATCAGTCAATACTCATAAACTATTTCCCAAATTTGTAAAAAGGAGAAAAACATGGTGAATATGAAATTTATTCGTAGTTCAGGTATCAGTATCCTTAAGACAAAACAAAACCCCAGCGCTGCCCCAGTTGTTCGGAAATGTGGACGGACACAGCACACCGGACACAGAGGAGTCCTCCCCTGCGTGGGTTTGCTTACGTCTCCGCATGTGGCTCCTTCCGCCTGCTCCCAACCCGGTGCTCTGTAGTCATGGTTTATTTGATGAGCAAGGATTTGAACTCAAGTAGAAAAGTTAAAAGGTGAGGAAAACTTGCTAGTCGGCATTGTTTTCTGTCTGTACCACCTTACCCTCAGGTCTGCCTGCCTGCTGTTGACATTTGCCATCAGGTTCAGAAGTCAATATAAACGGATGTAGAAAGTATCACCATACTATACTAAAACACACTGTATTTTCTTTGTTTGAGATTAGGCTCATGAGACGAGATCAGGCTGGTTCAGGGTTATATGGCCATAGATGCGCATCATTAGAAAGTTATTGAACTTTCAGGGTTCCTGTGTACAAAATGAGGCAGGTATTTTCTGTCAGCCTCCCTTGGTGAGAAAGGGTGCAGTCACCGGTCCACTGAGGCTGGTGTCCGTTGGTCTGCGTGGCAGCCGTGGGCAGGTCTGCAGACTGGACCGTGGTATGTGTCTCCACTGGGTGTTAAACAGCTAGGCTTTTGTGTCCCTCTTGGTTTCTTATTTCCACCCATCGTGTTGCAGCAGTAAACAGCCTCTGCTCCGACAGGCTGATGGAGGGGGACCATTCACAGCTGATGTAAGAGGGGGCGCCTAGGTGGTGTGGCTTCTGCCCGGGGTGCTTGCCAATGTGGAGCGCAGATGTGTTTCTGACAAAGTGTCTTCATTTCATAGTTTCCGTATTTGAAGACAGTCCTTAATTGGGAAAGAAAGCTAATGATGTAGCAATATCTCAGAGTTTCCACCCTTTTGTGAGGGACTGAGCTTTGGGAGTTAACCCTAGAATGTATCTGATATGGTTGAAGCAAAGTTACTCAGACCTTTATTTCCAATTAATAACTCTGAAGCTTTCTGTCCATCTTATTTTACAAGTCTGTTTTGAGCTACCAAGGGAGGGAAAGCAGAAGAAAAAAGGCAGTGTGAGGATTCTTATCTTCCCACCTGTCTCCAGGGGGCACAGATAAAAAGACAGAAGGCAGAGAAGCAGTGGCTGCAGCACTTGAGGCTCAGCAAGCTTTTTCAGGTCTATTGTCACATTATTTTAAGTGTCACCCGATTGCACTGAATTGCACCGTCCAGCATCTGTTGAAATGAAGAGCAGGGAAGTGTTGGCTTCCAGAGCAGCTCTAAAGTACCTGTGCCCGAAATAGAACAGAGAGGCAAAGAATAAAATAACTTTACAGTGGAACAGAAAAAAGCACAAGGCTGGTTCAAACATTATGTTCTAACTGCCAGCAACACTGTAAATTTTTTTCTTATATTTTATACACATTAGGTAGGAGAAAACAGAAGCAGTTACGTAATCAGAGTGCTTAAAAAGAGGTTTCACTCTGACATTCCTTCTAAATTGATCCAAAAAGGTAACAGAAATCCTTAATTCTTTGCTTTCTTTCCTCCTCTGAAAGTCTGCTTTTGTGTCCTGTCTTACTGCAGCGTTGTATTTCTTATCCTGTTTGCATGTGTTTATAAGGTTTATGTCCTGACTTACTAGGACACTGACATCGTAATTAACGTATACAATGGTTGGTCTCGTTGCTGGGTTTGTGTGGTTATTACATCACTCTCCCCTGGGTCTCCCCAACCAGAACTGTGGGTTTGCCTTTCCCTCCTTGTTCCTCTCTGTCAGCCCCCTTTGCTAGAGGCTCCATCTGCACCCAGTGGCTCAGATCAGATAATCGGGAGTCTGGTTTTTTTCCCCATTACACCCACCCTCTCCCCTCTTTTTAAAACAAGTCTCATGCTTCCACTCTTGCCCCCTATTCCAACCTACATACACCAAGCAGCCGAAGAAGCGCTCTGTCACCGCCAGGCCACTGTCCCCCACCCATTGACATCCCAGCTCCCTTCCCTAGTGCAGGTGGAGCAGTGTGATTTAGTCCTTAGTTCCTGGAATGAGTCTGCCCGGGTTGTCGTCTTAATGCCTCACTTGTAATAGCTGTGTGACTTCACGAAGTTGCACTTTTTCTGTGCCTTGGTATTCTCGTATGTAAAACAGGCGTAGTACCAGTGGCTGTCTCTTCGAGTTACCCTGAGAGTTGGGTAAGCTAGTTCTTGCAGCGCACGAACACACAGCAAACGCCAGTGCAGGCTCCCTGCCTTCATCATTGCCATCACCATGACAATTCCCAACCATCCAGGTTTCTCGAACATTTGCACTTTCTGTGCCTCCTTCGCAATAATTTCAGTATAATGATGTTTATTTGCAGAGAGAAAGGTTATATGAAGCCAGCTGTATTTTGCTAAAGAAGGCAGCAAAGTGTGTAATTTTGAACTATTTCTCAGGTTGGGCTCTCAGTTATTCAAAACTTGATCTTAATAGACTGTCTCATTCTTCAGGGTCCCGAATCGTGAAGTATTTGTGTGCTTTTATAGAATGTTCTATATGTTATCTTTATTTATTTTTGTAGTTTTCTTTCGAGATAACAGACTCATTATCAGTGTTATCAGATGTGTAATTTCACATGGTCTTGAACAAGGTAAACAAGTGTTTGTGTCCCAGGCGGTGATAGTCTGAGTGCTAACATTGGTGTTACACACGTGTGTGTCACACCTGTCGTGGAATAGAAATCCAGCCAGCTAGCCGTGAGAGAGGAAAGTGACTGCAGGGATCATCCCAGTCCGCCCCTTAAGTTTACAGACAAGGAAACCGCTCAGAGACTCCACTCCCACATTCTTTTTCCTGACCCTCAGAAAACCCAGCGTACTGGTGTCTCACGTGGGTCACGGCTGAGAACATTTGAGAAGTCCTAGGCAAAGGAAGTGTGCGATTGAGTGGTGTCAGAACAAAAGTAGCTAAATGATCAGACGGACATGGTTTGTTTTTAAAGCATTTTTTAAAAAATGCGGCTGCTGGGGGAGAGAGCAGTCGAAGACTCCCTCCAGGCCCGGAGTGAACTGAAGTTGTGTTCGACTGCACCACCCATTCCACACACTTGGCAGATAATCGCTGAGCACCTGCTGTGCTAGGTACTACTGCGGGCACCGGGGACGGTGGTGAACCAGACACATAGGCTGCTCCTTGTGCGTCTTATTTGTATGGAAGAAAGAGAGGCAGTTAATCATGCGTTTATAGATTTGCCGAGCAACTGTGAAGAAATGAGGCCGACTGGAGATTGCATGTAGCCTCTCTGTGTAGGCCGGGGCTACGTGGAGGCCTGAATGATGAGGAGGGTCCAGGCAATGACCCTTGTGTGCAGTGGGACAGGGCAGTGCAGTGGCTTTAAAGCAGGGGGGCGCCCAGCTGGCTGTGGCAGTTGACGGGCAGAGTCTAAGGAGGCATTCGGATGAGGGGGAGAGTGGGCCTGCTCCAGTTCTGTGCCCTCCGTGCCTTTCTTGTCTCCTGCTAGTTTTGCCCTGGCCCATCCAGCTTGAAGGTCAGAAAGGACAACGTTCAATTCACAGGAAGTGAGTTGGGGCGGAGGGCTTGAGATGAGCACAGGGACACCTGCAGCGCTGGGTCCCCCAGGGCCTTGTGGGCTCGGGTGAGGTTTGTGGACTCCATGCTGATGGACAGGGAACGCACCGTAGAGTATTCATCGGAGCGCTGAGTTCACATGTGTGTATTTTTAAAGAAACCACTTACAAATTTAGCAAGAATGAGTAGTAGGGGAGTAAGAATGAAAGCAGGTTGGCCAGTCACATTCATTAGTTCAGGGGGGAGATGGCCTAGGGTGGCCAGGCCCGGGGATGGAAATTTGGGGTGCTCTTCAAGGCACAGTCCTTGTGACTTTCGCTTTTGTCAGGGACACCTCCGCCGTTGTGGCACCGGAGGGACTCTGCCAAGGGTGTGGGTACAGATGTGTGTAAGTTATTGAACTTGGTGGTAGGAAGTTAAGGGAATTTCTGTTTAATTTCTGATTTCCCGGTGAAGTATGAAACACTATCATCATCTGAAAGTGGAGGAGGGAGGCGGAGGGTAGAGCATGTTTGAGGAGCGAGCAGGTTCCCAAATTGCATTTCAGAGGGTGAGAAAAGGAATATGGCAGGAAGTGTGGCGGGGTTGCCGGGTGGTGGGGTCTGTGATTCTGGGTTTGAGGGGGTAGGTGTTCTTTAGCAGTGCCCAGGGGCACAGGACAGGGAGTAAATGAGTTTAACTTCAGGCGGGGCTCACCCTAGGGACAAAGTTAGGGTTAGAAACCTTTACAGAACAAATCAGATAAAATTATGGGGGTCCTCTAACTGTACTATGCATGGGAAAGATTACTGCTAGAAGATTCAGTGTTTTAAGGAATTGAAGTCAGATTTTGGTGATACTTGAATTAAACTCATGATTTGATTTGTTAGTCACAAGATGGCACCATCACAGGGCTTTACATATTTGGACAGAGTGTCTAATGCCTTTTTGAAGCACGTATATGCTCAGAAAACTATAGAGCCAGTCATTTAGATTCTAGAATCTAAGAGGAAGCTCATGCTTACCTTTGGAGTATAAAATTCTTAGTAATTGTAAACCAGTGCCTGCACACTTCAGCCAAATTCTCATCTGTCTTCCCACCCTCACAGAGCTCCTTTTGAAGTCATTGGAGCTCCCTGTGCTGAGCATTTCGTGGGGGTGCAGAGCAAGGTGAGAGTTTGGGACCACTAAGTTAAATATAAGTATTTTAAGTACAGTATACATTATACTGTACTTACACATCAAGTAAGTATTTCTTAAGTTTGTTACAAAGTAGAACACTAGAGGGCAGCATTTACCCTTTTTCCATTTTTATCTTAATCCAGGCTCTGGAAATCTCTTCAATGTTGTATACATTTTTGAAAATGAATATGGTTAGATAGTTTTAAGGCATGAACATATACTGATGACAAAGCCATGTTTAGGAACTGTCCCTATTTTTTCAGGGAGAGGATCTTTTAATTCAGTTTGTATATAGTTGGGGACTTACAGCCTGATCTCAGGTGGAGAAAATTCCTAAAGACGAAAATATGTTAACCCACTTTAAAAGGAGATTATTAGTAATGTAGAGTCGATGTTACCTGAACTTCTGATAAGCACAAATAGAATGTTGACATTCTAGCAATGCTGGTGAGTATTTAAGGCTTTGACAGAAGGACTTAGAAATATATAACTGGTCCCCTCCCAGTCTCAGAAATAGACTTGTTTGCTTTGCTTCTCTTGGCATCAGATGGAGGAATTGAAATCGAACAGTTACAAACATTTCTATTGGCCGGGGTCTGGCCAGTTCTCTGTTTGTGAATCATGTTTTACTATCTGATATTGAAATTCAGGAATTCATAAGTAAAGGGAAAGTAAAGTTTTGTGTCAGTAATACTTGATACTAGGCTAAACTTTCAGCTAATATACAAATCCTTTAAGTAAATAAAAACTGTAAATGAATTATTAGCATGTGACCCTTGGGCCAGAAAGGTGACTTTTTAGATCCTATCAAACCGTGAGTATTTTTTAAAACAAACAAAAAAATCCCAAAACTCCTCAAAAAACTATGGTTGAAGATTTAGCATAAAATTTGAATTGTTGTAGAAGATATCACAGAATAGCTAATTTTCAAAATAGAATTTTCACTTGCAAGCCACTTTCTGGCTTTTTGTTAAAAATAGTTTAATTACTTGCAAACATAGCTTCCTGATTTGTCAAAATTTGGAACACATCCTAGCTTTCTAGAAATTAGTATTTTGGTTATACTGAAAGCTATTTGTATGTTTTTGTTTGCTTTATCAGGTTATTCTCGGACACTACAATTGGCTCTCCTATGAAGACGTCTTCGTTAGCGCTTTCAACTTTGGAAATGGCTTACAGATGCTGGGTCAGAAGCCGAAGACCAACATCGCCATCTTCTGTGAGACCAGGGCCGAGTGGATGATCGCCGCGCAGGCGTGCTTCATGTACAACTTCCAGCGTACGTGCGTTCACTCCCCCCGGCTGCCCCTGGCTCCCCCGGCTCCCCCGGCTCCCCCCGCCCCCTTTCTGGAACAGTGACCCACGCTGCCGTGGAAGAGATGATGCTGACTTTTGTCGCAAAATATTTCCCTCTTACCAGATTAAAGCTCCCGTGGTATTTTTCACCTTGCATTCGGTCAGTGGAGGGCTTGCTATAACTTAGAGTTACTGATCTGTTTTGGAAAAGGAGCCGGTCGAGGGAGAAGCGGGGCGGTCACTGTGGTAAGGGCACTTCCTGCGTGCAGGGAGCCGTGCCTCCCGTTGCTGCCGTCTCCCAGGGTTTCCCTCTGAAGGCGGGGTGTCATGTCGTTGTGCCGCCTCTGTCAGGAGTAACGGGGGCCTCTGGAACACGTCCAGTCCTCGGACCCAGGTGCTCGGCTGAGCGGCGGCGAAGTTTCGTGTTGTCGCTGCGGGAGTGGTGTCCGTGGTGCTTCAGTCTGGGAGGCTTTAGTCCTGGAGGCGGCGCTGAGAGGTCTTGGTGCCCGAGTGTGATGCCAGGCACAGACAGTGTCTCATCCTTTACATGGGACAGAAAGGACACTGTTACCACATTTCTTGCTGTAAATGCCTTCACTGTGTTTTTTTTTAATTGGCATACCTTTTAATTTTCAAAGGTTTAGGTTTACTAAGTGTTTTTTTTGAGAAGCTTTAAAATAATTATCTCAAAGCTACTTTAAGTCTTAACTCTTGAATTAGGCAGAAAGCAAAAAAAAAAAAACCCACCTATTTAATTTCAACATTTCTAAGAATGTTTTTCTTTAGATTTTCTGCTTTAGAATAAGCAGGGTGACTCTTATTCATGCTCTTTCTAGAATGTGTAATATCTTAAATGTGATCTCCAATGTGTTATGTTATTGGTTTTTTTGTTTTGTTTTGTATTTTAGTACTAAGTAGTTAACAACTAAGATTTCACATTTTAGAAGTTGTATATAATTACTTCCAATATAACAGTCCCACAGAAACATCTGTAGGTAAAACAAAATGAAATTAAACTTTTTTTTATTTTAAAATATTGAGAATCTTGGCGAAAATTAGGGAAGGGTGAGTTGGCACAGTGTTAATTAGTATATTAAAGTAATTTGGGAAAACACAGCACAATTAGATCATAAACTATGTATCTAATGACGTAGGATTCAGTAAGCTCCGTTATTATTCCTGTCCGCTGTCAAAGGCTTTGCTTACCTTTAGCACACCCATGTGAGTATTTGACTTGCCCTTCTTTCCCTACAGTCGTTACTTTGTACGCGACTCTAGGAGGTCCTGCAATTGTCCATGGATTGAATGAAACAGAGGTGACGAACATCATCACTAGTAAAGAACTCTTGCAAACAAAGTTGAAGGTGAGGACTGGAGGTTTTTGTTTTTTTTTTTTAAACTGTCCCATACTTTAGAATTTTCAGTGTCATGAGCTCTATTATTGATACTTAGTTCTTTTATGATCTTTAACATCCTTGATGTCTTTGTAAACTTATGGGACTATCATAATTTTATTCCTTTAGAAAAGAGAAAGTAGATCTCATATATATATATATATATATATGTATGTATAACTAGTGCAGGGAGTCAACAGATTAATTGTTAATAGGCCCATATCTAAGGTGAAGGGATTATAACTTTATTGTGCGCAACCATTTTCAAGTCTATTTTTAATAAACTTGTAAATTTGACAGGTTATTTTTAAACTAGTAACTTTATTTCTGAAGCATCGAGACTATGAGTTTTCAGGATTTTTTTTAATGGGAAAAAGAGAGACTTCATGAAACTACAGGGAAAATAGGTTTCTTTAATTTCTAGACATCTACCTGTGAAAACAGTAATTTCTGATGTTTTCTTTTTTTTGAAACACACAAATCTGTGAGTGCATTCCGTCCCCTTCCCCTCCTGTGTCTTTATTAGCCCCTCATTCCCTGAGGGAGTTTGGCTTCCCTGCAGTTCAGGCAGCCTGTGCTTACGTGCCTGTTCGTGAGAAAGGAACTTGGTCGATTAAGGCTTCACCAGAGGGCAGGGATACCAGCAGTGAATCTAATGCTGTGAAACTGTCATTGACATTTCAGACCAGTATTTCTCTCTCTGAAAAAGGGGGAAAGCCTCTGTGCTCCTTTCCCCCTTTTTTGAGGAAAGAAACTAGTAATTCCCCTAATATGGTGAACTGCTTTTCTTGTGTCCCGGACCGTTTGCTAAGCTGTGTCATGGAGAATAGTGACCGTGACGAACACTGTGTCTCTCCAGGATATCGTCTCTCTGGTCCCCCGCCTGCGGCACATCATCACGGTTGATGGCAAGCCGCCCACCTGGACCGAGTTCCCCAAGGGCGTCATCGTGCACACCATGGCCGCAGTGCAGGCGCTGGGAGCCAAGGCGAGCGCGGGTAGGTGGCAGCGCCCCGGGCCCTGGGTGTTCTGCAGTGACCCTGTTCTCCAGGGTTGTTTCTCCACCTTCGCTCTGGGAGGTTCTCAAGAGAGGTTTAGGAAACAGGCAGACGTTAATTTACGAACGTTCTAACAGCAGTATTTATTTGAAATTACTTTAAAACACGTTTTACTTTATACAGTTTTTCCGTTTCAAAAAAGGGTAAATTTTTCTGATAGTTTTGGATGGTTTTAAGTTAGTTTTATAAATAATGGCATGAAACTTGTCCTGTGAATTATCTGTGAGTATTAAAAGATAGCTGATCCCTCCTTTTACTCCCTGTTCCAACTGCACCTCTTCCGGGGGGTGCATCTTTTTACCTCCCAGCGAGCGAGCACACCTGGGCACGGCGACTGTAGAAGTCCCTCCTCTCACATCAGCGTCAGAAAATGTTAGTGAGCGCCCTGGCGTTTGGGGGTATCTCAGAGAGCTGCTGGGGTGCTGTGGTTGTGTTTCCTTTCTAGTTGGAAGTTAGTGATTAGTTCATTGTAAGCATTGGCTTGGCTCTGGATTGGGGTTATGCTGGCAGTCATTCTGGGTAGATGGAGTTTTAGGTGCTGGTGGGACATTCAGAGGTGGATGTCTAGTGGGCAGTGGCCTGTCTGGACAAGTCCAGTACTCTGGACTTAAGTTTGGAGTTGAGATTTAGAAGCCAGAAGAAGTTTTCTTTTTTCTCTTTTTTCCACCAAGGTTGTAGACCCTCCCACTTTTCTTTGAGGCTTATAGCCACAGCCCCCAGAGGTTACAACATCTGCTTGCTGTCAGCACCTCTCTTTAAATTGCTGCGACAAACAGCTTAGGGGCTGGCAGCTGGGTTTTCATTTCAGCTGTGGAGTAGGCGAGGTCACCCACAGAGAACGGTGCATTTGGATGCCACCCAGGACCGGGTGGAGGGTAGGGAAGGAACTGTGTGTCGGTGAGGTGTGCTGGAGGAATCAGACGACATGGGGACTGCAGGTCCGTCTGACTCGGCACATCTCACTGCCGAGACCGCCGTTTCCAAGAAGGGGGGCTGGAGGCGTGAGTGCACGTTAGGAAGGGAGGGCCTGAAGGAGGACCGCTGTGAGGAAGTGTGTCTGGGCAGGTGGGAGAGAGCGGGCTCACCAGGGAATGTGTCTCACGTCTGCCCCCACTCATTTAAGAAGTCCGCAGGTGGGTAGATCCGGTTGCTGGAATAGCTCTTTGTCTTCATGCCTCTTTTCTTCCCTTCCTTAAGTTACGTAGCCATCACAGCCAAAGCAATCCTGCCCAGGATGATGACGATTCCCTGTAGAAAACAGCATTGCTTCCCACCACAAAGCACAGTCCTAAGCCCTTGGCGTGGCCCCGGAGGCTCTGTGTGACGTGGGCCTGGCCGCTGCTCCACCCTCGTCTCCTGCCCCCTCCCCCTCGCTCACTCGTCCCACCGCACTTCCCGCTGCTCCTCACGCCGCGGGCACAGTCATCCTCGGGGGCCTTGGCACGTGCCTGTTTTCTGCTTGAAACAGTCTCCCCGTCTCGGGGTTTTCCTGACTCCCTTCCACGCTGTCTTCAGATCTTTACTGAAATATTAACTCCGCAGAAAGGTCTCTCCCGATGTTTCCATCTACACAGCCTCTACTGTATCATCTTCGCACCTTGTCTTGCTTTATTTTTCTTCAGAGCTCTTACTGTACTGTAGATTTATGTGTTTGTCCCAACGGACTAAATGTCCCTTATGTGCGGAGACTTGATCTGTCTGGGTGACCTCTGTGTGATTACAAGGAATAGTTGTTGAATTGAGTTAATAAACAAGTGATTATGAAAAAATTGGTGCTTTGGCTGAATTTCTCAGAAGCATGTGTGTTTTTTTCCCTCCAATACAGAACACAAACCTGAGAGCACCCCAGTGCCCTCGGATGTCGCCGTCATCATGTACACAAGTGGGTCCACGGGGCTGCCCAAGGGGGTCATGATCTCCCACAGCAACATCATTGCCGGGATCACTGGCATGGCGGAGAGGATCCCACGCCTGGGGTAGGTCGTTGTGCATGAATAGCAGCGCTTGCGACATTTAGTCACGAATGGTTGAATTAGTCCTGCAGAGTCTGTTTATCATAGGCATTTCCTTTAAAAAAAAAAAGGACATTGAAATTAGAAGATAGTCATAGTCGTGAAGTTTTACAATACAGTTTATACGTATTGTTGACAGTTAACTTTTTTACTTTAAAAGTGTAACTTTTAACTGTGGTCATTTTTATACCCAAATATGTTACAGTTCAGGAGGGCAAAGCGCTTACTCTGTCCAGTCAACGTTCATGGAGGTTCTGAAGACAGATTCCCGTAGTGGTGGGCGGGGGAGGGCGCACACTGCCGCGGGAAGACGGGGTGGGGGTGGGGGGCCAGATGGGCTGCGAGGGGCTGACTGCGAAGGACTCGTTCCCAGAGATGGCGTCAGCTCGCTGACGACTGGCCAGGGCAGCGGCGGGGTATTTTTGGAGCCCTGTGCACAGAAGTTACACACACACGCGCGCACACTAGTTTCTGTGGAATTGAGTTTGGCGGTGGGGAGGGGAATTTCTGTTAGGCATGCATCCTTTTCAGAAAAGAATTAAGAGCAACACTTTCCTTCTTGTTTGCCTCAGTTGCCCTTCCTAGTTCGGAGAGGGGGCAGTTCTTGAAATTTTGAATATATACTTTCAGACACACACCCATATACATTTTCTTATGTAAGGCATCATTTATTATATATAATTTAATGCAGCTCTCAGGACAGGAATCTCTTCTGTAAAATTCCTGGAAGACTGTGGATTCTGTTTGAACTCTGTGTGGTAGCCCAATAGCATTAGAGAGCATTTTCTCCTGGGATTTCTTCTGTCCTTCTCAAGAAGAACCCTTTCATTTCCTTACCCATATCTTTTATTTCTTCTGCCTCGCGCCTCGCCTCTGCAGCACTTAGAATTGATCAGTGAGTGCCCTCCAGTAGGACTGGACACAGAGCAACTTACCTACAGTGTCTGCCTCCTCGGTTTCAGGTTGAGCTGGACTTTTTTCCTCTGACACCCCCAGTGTCAGTCGGTCCCTCTGTCTCTGTCGCTCTCCTCTCACACACACCACCGCCTCGGGCAGAGTCACATGAATGCCCAAGGGCCCTTCCCGTGCCTTCTCGGGCTTGGTCCCGCTGCTGCCACGTGCAGCAGAGAGCGCTCCTGACAGCTGCTTCTGCTCTTCCCCTGTCTTTCAGAGAGGACGACGTTTACATTGGATACTTGCCTCTGGCGCACGTTTTAGAGTTGAGTGCTGAGCTCGTTTGCCTTTCTCACGGATGTCGCATTGGCTACTCTTCACCCCAGACGTTAGCAGATCAGGTAAATGAAATGGTGCAACCTGTGAGACTAAAAAACCATAATCACTTTTAACACATTTTCCCCATCAGTTTGTCAGTATGTTTTGAAGATGACAGTTAATTATCTTAAAATAATCACTTGCCTTTTAATTGTTTTATAGAAGTAAATTAAAGTGATGAATTTATAATATGCTTTTTTTATTCCACTGAGTTTTTAAAATAAGGGTCACTTTATATAGATCACTTTTTCTCTCCATAGTCTTCAAAAATAAAGAAGGGAAGCAAGGGGGATACAGCCATGCTGAAGCCCACACTGATGGCCGCGGTGCCGGTAAGCACTGACCCCAGTTAACACTGCGTTCCCGGGGAGGGAGGGCCGCCGCAGAGCGCAGTGCATGTGGGAGGGACGCTGTGGCCACGGGGGTTCCCGCAGGGTCAGTTTCTACTGGGTTTCTGTGTTGCTTCACGCTCTACGGATTTATTCAGTATTGTTTTACCTTTTTTTTTTTTTTAATTTTCAGCCTCTGTGTGCATTATATTCTCAACTGTTTCCTCTAAAGAGCTTTTTGTTCAAATTATTTTCGTGCAGTTCGTTTGCTATTAGTAGAAACCTGAAGCTCAGCAAGAGATAGGAGAGCGGGTCTAAGAGCAGCATCTTCTTCTCAGCAGAGTGCAGTTACCTCCTGAGTCCTCAGGGCACGTCTGGCCTAGGCACCAAAAAGGGGGAAGAGCAGTCAGTGCCACTTTGATGACCTGCGCACCCTTGTGTGACGCCGGGTGTGGGGAGGGCCCCGAGATCGAGAGCAGTGGGGATGAGCCACAGGGGCTTTTGCTTTTTAGAGCAAGTCGTGTGTGGCTTCTGATTTTGTTTGAAAGTGTTGGGAGTTATGATTGGATATCATCTAAGCATAACTACATGGTTATTCCAAAACCAATGTAAATGACCAACAGTTTTAGAATTTCTCTTGGTATGTAGTTTCCTTAGTAGTACCTTATTTTAAATTTTCAGTTCCTGTAAAGTTTATTATTTAAAGTTGTAGAGGAAAAACCATCTGAAGGCATCAGAGTATACTTCGTAGTAGCCACAGGCCAAGTGAGCGACATGCAGTGCAAAGGACATTTTTCCCGGGCGCAGCACTGAGAGACAAACACCCACCAAAACAACCCCAGAGACTGTCGTACTCTGTAACCAAAAACCATTTCATGTAGTTGTCTGTTTATTGATTTAGTGAGTTTAGTTTTAAATTCATAGTGAATGATGGAAAGTAATATAAAAATCTATATTGAAATGACATGTTACTGCCCCAATGTTTTTGTCATTTTTTTTACTACTCATGAGTATTTAGATACATTTTTGCTATTAAAAATTTTTATAGCACCTTCGTTTTTAAACTAATTTTTGGCTGTATTTTAAAAATGTGTTCCTGATAAAATATCTTTTAAAATGTCTCAGTATTGATAGAAATATTAATCTGATGTGACGCTTTTAATAGGTGTAAGGCAGCTGGTAGCATTATTGACTGCATTAACTAATTTTTATACATGTAGGAAATCATGGATCGAATCTACAAAAATGTCATGAATAAAGTGAATGAAATGAGTGGTTTTCAACGTAACCTGTTTATCCTGGCCTATAATTACAAAATGGAACAGATTTCGAAAGGACGGAGCACTCCGCTGTGTGACCGGTAGGTCAGGGCTGTCCCCCTCGGCCGTGTAGTCATTCTATTCATGTTAGTAGCCCTGTTAATGGAGGTAGTTGTAGGAAACAAGTTTATTTTAAAAAGTCAGAGGAACTCTTTAAAAAACCCATCTTGCATAAGAATATGAGCAGTTTAGCATGGGCTGAGAACCAAAGCATCGCAGGTTCGATTCCCAGTCAGGCCCCCAGCAACCTCACATTGATGTTTCTCTCTCTCTCTCTCTCTCTCTCTCTCTCTCTCTCCCTCTCTCTCTCTCCCTCTCTCTCTCTCTCTCCCTCCCTCTCTCCCTCTCTTCCCTCTCTAAAAATAAATAAATAAAATCTTTAAAGAAAAAAAGAATGTGAGCAATTTAAAAATTATTGCCATTTTAGTTGAAAAAATTTGCACTTAAAATTTTACTTGATTTAATAGTGTGCTTACATTTTATATGGACATGTATGTGATTTTAATTATTTTGAGTAATAGTTTCTCTTTGCTTTTAGACTTATTTCATATGACTATAAAGTGGCAATCAAGTATGATTAAAAGTCTTCTGTTTAAACACCTATTTTTTGTTTTTGTAGTACTAATAGAGTTAAGTAGATTTAATTATAAAATAGTTAGAATTTAAAAAATGAAAGTATGGCATTCAGATTATTTTTTCTGGGAATATTAATAGATGGTAGTTTTCAAATGCTTCATTTTATTTAAAACTTTATACATTTTTCCCTACCTTCTAGTTATCGCTTTAATGAGATCTATAACCTATTTTGTAAAACTTTTAATATATATATTTTTAATGATTGCCATTTGGTCTTTGCCTTTTTCAAAATCACTTAACAAAAAAATCCTTCTTTTGATCAAGGTAGTGAGTAAACTTTTTTTATTAGTATATTTTCAGAAACGTTTCAATTCAATATTTGAAGTTTTTAATTCACCAGACAATTTGTAAATAGTAAACATACTGGAACTTGAATTAGTGAAATTTTTTTGAAAGTTAGACTGCTGTGTAGAAATTTGTACATACTTCTAATGAAGTAAGCTAAAGCAAACAGTTAATTTGCTTTCAATGCTCAGTTTTATAAAGACATAATAGGGTTATTCAGTGTTAATATGTATGTATTATAATGATGTAAAAGAAATTGCTGTGCCCATTAGTAAGGGTTTTCCATTATTATGTAATATTAATCCAGACAATTTTGAATTCAGCTACTAGTTGAAAACTTTTTAAGAGAAGATCATATATTCTTTACTTGGTTGAACTTTTAAAAATTAAGGCTTAAGTAGTGGGTCAAGAGAATCTCTTGAATTGGGTGTGTGGCCTTGGCTAAGTCACTAAATACCAGAACTAGGAGATCAAATGGTTTGGGAAATCCCATTCAGCTTTACAACCCTGTGATTCTCTGATTATTTATTTATTTATTTTTTTAGATTTATTTTCCAGAAAGTTCGAGGCTTGCTGGGTGGGAATATTCGGCTCCTGCTGTGTGGGGGTGCTCCGCTTTCTGCAGCCACACAGCGCTTCATGAATATCTGTTTCTGCTGTTCCGTCGGCCAGGGCTACGGGCTCACTGAATCTGCTGGTGCTGGGACAATCACAGAAGGTCGGTGTCGCCCAAGCGGAGTGTCCAGCCGTGGCTGGGTCACCTTTTTGCACTTTTTGGGGTGGGTGGTTTTCTACAAATATATAGGGGGACGGGGGTTGAGATACTTGTCCGGCACAATAATGGTAAATTCCATATCCTGTGATTACTTGTGTAAGGTTTTTAGAATGTATTAAGTAATTAAGTATGTCCAACAGTAATTCATCTAGAGGAGTGTTTCATATTAAATTAGGTAATATTAAAAAACTAATTAGCATTCTGGAAAAGGAATTTTAGTAAAAAGTAGTGGCTGTATTGTATACATTTGTTACATCAGTTACTAAGTTCTGTTTAGGTAGAAAATTAATGTGTTTAGTTTGTGTATTACATCTCGCATTCAGAAATGCTTCTTGGGGGAGGGGAGGGGTTGTTTGCGGAAGTGTGGAGACAGAAAGTATAGAGGGAGGGGGGTCTGGGCAGCACCGTTTTCAGAGCCTGCGTGATGACGTGGTCGGGGATGTGATCTGCTCCCCGGGAGGTTCCAGGTGAATCAGACAGCACTCATGTGCCTCTTCTGTGGGACGAAGTTACTTTGCTTTCTAGCCCTAGGAAAAGCTGTGTTTCTACTCTGTATTTTCTAGATACCGACAGACGATAAACCCCTTCATGGCTGAGTTTTTCTTACTTGCCTTGAGTGCCTCTGTGTATGTTCTGAGGCATTACTCCTGTATTTTTCTGTTTTCAGTTATGTTCTCCATATTTTATATATTTTTGGAAGCTACTTCTAAGTTTTGTTTTGTAGGAAATAAACAAGTAGTCTTTAAGTACGTGCATATATGGTTCCTTTTTTCCTGAGGATCTTAATTTCTTCTGTATTTAAGATTCTCTTTGAAAGTGTAATTAATCCGTTACAGTTTGTTGTAACTAGATAGAACTCTCTACAGTGTTAAGTAGTGGCGTTGTGTTTCTGATACTTAAACGGCCTTTGAAGGAGGAACAATGCAGCAGTAATTTATAACGCTGGGTTCTTCTCCCAGGTTCGTGGACATTAGCCATCTTCATCTCCAGCCTGGTCTTTGAGCCCTCGAGGCGGGAATTTAAATAGGGCAGGACAGGATAACTGATGTGAGGGAGCTTCCTGGGTCTCACGTGGAAATAGTGACACGTGGGAGAAAGTTGGAGAGCCCATTTCTACTGCAGAGTTCCGTGTCTGATAGTGGAATTAAGTGCAAACCATGCTGCCCCATCATTTTGTAAGACGGGGGCAAGAAACTCATGGACCAGGCAGGTACTTAATTGAGAGGAGCAGGCCCTGTTGTGAGGGAATGCGATGGGCGCGGAGCCTGGGGAGCTGGAGCGGCAGGCCTGTCCATCTAATGAGGACTCCAGTTGTTGCTGAGCTGGGAAGGGGGTTCCTGGAGATTCCACCCGTGTGTGTAAAATGGCTTGCTGTTTTCAGTGTCTGTAATCAAATCAGATTAAAAGCAAAACAAAAGAAAAACTCAGGTGGGCCACGCAGCCTGTGGCTCACCAGTTTGTGACTTCTGCTTTTAAGGATTCTCTGGGGATGTCTAAGATTTAGGATAAATTACTGTTTTTGGTAATTTAGAAAAATGAAGCAGTTTATTACCTGCTGTAATCAGAGACTTCTCTTCTGCACCGTAGTGTGGGACTACAACACCGGCAGAGTGGGCGCACCGCTGGTCTGCTGTGAAATCAAATTAAAGAACTGGGAGGAAGGTAACGGCATTCCAACCACAGCCATGATGTGTCTGGTATTAAGTTACAAAATTAGCGCTGTGCTTCATCTTCTTCTTTGTTTTAAAATGTAAAATACAACTTCTCCTTCTGGTCCCTTACAATGCATATATTTTATCTAGAGCCATATGAATGCATTTACATTGCTTGTTTCAAAGATGATTGTGAAGAATTACAATTGTTTTTATTTTGTTTATTATTTTACTAAAAAAAGTACAAGTAAGTAAATTATGTCAGTCAGTTAGGAATTATAACTTTTATTTTGTAGAGGCAAATTTGTAAAATTTATTCTATGAAACTAAAGATTTTTAGTTCTGTCTTTTTCCTGAGGGCCTCAACCAAGAATTAACAGAAGGAAATTTTTATTGTAATTTCATAAAAACCTATTGTTATATGCCACTTAAACACTGATTACTCTTAAATTTTATTTTGTCTTATTAACATGTACATGTTACCAGTGATTTGTTTGAATGCCCTTTCCTTTCATGCATAGGAGAGATTCTAAGGCTCAGATACAGTTTTTCAGCTGTGAGCAGAATTAGTGAAAATATTTAATAAATTTAAACTTGGACTATTCTGAAATTATCTGTTAAGAATAAATCTTTTAAATATATAGTAATCTGATTTTTAGACTTATTGTTCATTTACTAAATAGATGATTTAATGCTTTTATTAGTTCTATTAGTATAATATTTAAGAATCTCTACAGAAATCTTAAAGGAGTTTACTTGTGAAGTATGTAATTATTTTATATGATAGATGTTGGGTTTTTGAGTGGAATTTATTTTTTAAATGGTAGTTTAAAAGCATAAATTCTGTGGTTAAGTAACTGGAGTTTTGTACCTGGTTTTATTTTGATGAGCTTTGTTAATTTACAGCATCTGCCTTATTTCCTTTGGGAAACTAGAATCGGATTGAAATTAGGTTCCCTGTTTAGGAACTAACAGTTTCAAATTTTCACATGATGTGTATAGGGCATATAGGGATAAAAAATGCTGGATTAACTCTAAGTTATTCTGTTTATTAGGTGGATACTTTAATACGGATAAACCGCATCCCAGGGGTGAAATCCTTATTGGTGGCCAGAACGTGACCATGGGGTACTACAAAAACGAAGCAAAAACAAAAGCTGACTTCTTTGAAGACAAAAACGGGCAGAGGTGGCTCTGCACTGGAGACATTGGAGAGTTTGACCCCGATGGGTGTTTAAAGATTATCGGTGAGCCAGCTGATGTTTTCTTTTGAACGTGGGTGTTCCTGACATCGTTTAATAGAAGGGGTGCTGCGTATTTAGAGAGGCTGTTTAGTAACGTCCGAATCTCTGTTCGTGTGATGTCGTTTTGGCTCATTGAGCCATCCCCGGAATATAAAAGTTTACAGTGGGGACAGTGCAGAGTTGTGGGCACAGCAGATTTACGAGGTCTCGAACTCTGTTCCACAGCGGTGGCGTTTGCACTTACTCCTGGCTAAGCCTCAAAGAGTCATATTCTTTTTTTTTTTTTTAAGATTTTATTCTTAAAAGAATAAAAAAATAAAAAAATAAAATCTGATTCACCTTCCTCCTTCCTTCTGGTCATTGCTCTCTTCTGTGCTGCCGTGGTTTGCTAGTTCGTGGCCTGTGTCTGCAGCTCTGCTCTGCCAGCCTTGGTGCACTTGACCATTGCTCAGTCTTCCCCCAAGACTCGGCTCTGGCCTCGCTTGTAGGAATTCTTTCCAAAACAGCAAGTTGAGAGTCTTAACACTTAGCACTACCCTAGTGTATTGAAGCTAGGCGGTTTCGCATCATGCATCTCTCCGGGTGGAATGTGATCTCACTGGTGGCACTGAGTGTATTCTTTACCTTCCTGGATAACGTGTACCAGGAACATACCTGTTGAGAAGAACGTAACTAAAGCTCTGCTGGGGGTGGGGGGTCCCTTAATCAGAAGCTAATTAAAAAAAAAGAATTTATATAATACTATCAAAATTAAGGCTTAATTGTATTATGTACTTATAATTTTAGCATAACTATTACAGCGATCTCAGTTGATGGCAGATTGCTTAGAGAATGCCAATATTTCTGTGTATCAAAGGTGTTATTAACGTTGTCCTCTAATGTCGTCCCTTCCCGGCCTTTGTCTTGCACAGATCGTAAAAAGGACCTTGTAAAGCTTCAGGCAGGAGAATATGTGTCCCTTGGGAAAGTAGAGGCGGCTTTGAAGAATCTTCCATTAATAGACAACATTTGTGCATATGCAAACAGGTAGGAAAGTGGAATTCATGCAACTTTTACTTAAACCATTTAGTGTGCTATCAATAGCATTTCCTTCCTATATGGGTCTTCTTTGGGACGTTGTACTAAGAACTGTTCCTTCTTACCTGTTGTCTCATTACAGCCATGAACTGATTCTTCCCTTGTCATGCTTCTCCCCCTGCCCCCCAACTTCCTGTGTGGGCTTTCTGCTTTCTGTCTCACCGCAGTGCCCTCTGCAGCTGGGGGGTGGGGGGTGAAGACAGGAAAGCCCTCCTTCCTGCTGCCTTGGTAGCCCTGGCTGCCTGCCCTCTCTCTGCCCAGGAGGCTTCCCAGAACCCGTCCCGAGGAAGCTCGAGTCAAGAAAGAAGTTGGGTTGCGGGGAGGGTCCCTGCTCTCAAACGGAGCCTGCTTGGGACCCTGGCTGGGGCCAAGGGCTTTTTCCTTAAGCTGTTCAGCCCGTGATGACTTAGAGGCAGCTGGGAAGGGGTGTTTAAAGTTAAAATCCCAGAAATGCATTCTTGGAAAGTGAGTTAGAATTTTAGATTGGAGCTCTGATACCTTTTCCCAGCAGTCCTGCGTGGGATGGAGCTGTCCTCCGGGGCTGCTGGTCAGATGTGTCGTGGCCAGTCCAGCAACCTCACTGCAGCGGTTGACGTGATAATTATTCGGGAAAAGTAGGCCCTGCCTTCAGAAGAACCGATTTAGAAACAGACTTGGAGGTGCAGCCCCAGTTACAGATTGATTACATTTGTGTGTGTAAATGATTCGGCCCTTTAATGACATTTTTGTTAGTGATGCCACAGTCCTGGATTTTACAAACTGTGATGTTAACCAGACGGCCCTTCCCTTCCTGCCGCCGCTGCATCTGGAGGCTCCTGCCTTCAGCGGCAGCCCAGCTCCTCCTCTGACACAGATTCTCATGGGGACAAAAGAAGAAAACCAGTACGGTCCCGTTGCTTTGGTTTGCTGCCAGATTTCTTTAGATACAACTTTTTATATTAGCTTTTATTTCTGTTTAACCTGTTGAAATGAATTACCGATTTTTTTAAAGATGAGTTTTCTGATATTTGTGATTTTCTTTTTAAAAATGTGTGCATGACACTATTCCTGTGCATATTCGAAATTGATCATGGGGTGTCAGATCCAGGTTTATTTAGCAGTGAAGTCTGCCAGAGCATCGGGAGATGTGCTGTGAGTCAGACAGCAGCGTGGCTGCTGCGCGGACTCGGTGGGCCACGACCCAGCCTGCCTCCCGCGTTCTCTGTACAGCCGTGCAGGGCTGGCTGCTGAGATGTCGGTGCGATTAGAACTGCAGCTAACCGGTGTGCCTTTCAGTCCCGTCCCTGAGTTGCCCTTTGTCCGTTTCAGCTACCATTCTTACGTCATTGGATTTGTTGTGCCAAACCAAAAGGAGCTGACAGAACTGGCTCGAAAGAAGGGACTTCAGGGCACGTGGGAGGAGCTGTGCAACAGCTGTGAGATGGAAAATGAGGTACTCAAAGTGCTGTCGGAAGCTGCTGTTTCAGGTGAGCGGCTCCTACACTGATTCTGGGAACTGAGGTGGGAAGAGAGTGCGTAAACGTATTTGTCCTGTCGTGTCACAGGGCTTAGGTTACATGGTTTCCCTCTGAGAAAGCAGTCGTGTTTCCCTGCCATTAGTGGAAGAACATTCCAGTCCCCCGTCGAGCCCTGCCACAGGACACGCGGGTCACGGAGTGCTCCCACCTCTGTGGCTGCCGCCTTCTGGGCTGGCCCCTTCTCTCTGTTTCTCCGCTGTTTCCGAGACCCTGCTCGGCGGGCCGGCCGCCCCAGCCCTCACGTCGGCCGTGGTTCTTGCCTGCACTCTCTGTACTGCTGGTGGCCTGGGGGCTGCTTGTACTGACGTGTCCTGTGCCGGCTTCGGGGTTTGGGGAAGGGGGGCGAGGAGACGAGAGTAACGTGTTGGTGTAGTAAAAACCTTCTGAGTCACCAGCGTTAAGGATAATACAGGTACGGCCTTTTGTTCTCCTCTGGTATGTTACTCAAGTGTGTGAGGAATGAAATTGCACTTAACCCGATGGCATCATTGTTCTGACCCTTTATTTCAGCAGTAATATTTGTTAGTGTGCCGGCTTGTGGGTCATTTCCAGCAGTTTTAGGAACTTAAAACTTTGGACCAATGCTAAATTGAGTTAATAGATATTCATTAGAAACCAACATAATTTCTAAGAGAACTCTGAAAGGACAATCAAGCATAATTTTAGATTTATATTCTTTTCTGCTTATTATTTTATTTATAAATTAACAGCTTTATTGAGCTGTATTCATATACCAAACAACTCACTGAGTGTGTACTATTTAGGCAGTTTGTCATACATTCATGGAACTGTGCAGCTGTCACTCACCACAGTCAGTTTTCGCATATTGTCATCGCCCCCAAAGAAATCCCGTGTCCCTTCGCCCTCACTCCCCAGCGTACCTCAGAGCCCGGGCCCTTGGCAGCCCCTAATCTGCTTGGTCCCTATGGATTTGCCTACTGGGGCGGTTTTGTGTAAGCAGACTCATACCATACACGATTTCTGTGACCTGTTTCCTTCACTAGCATAACGTTCATCCATGTGTTAGCACTTCCTTCCCTTTTATTGCCGAATGGTGTTTCACCGTGTGGACATGTACATCGCATTTTGTTTATCCATTCACCCTTCCACAGACATTTGGGGTGTTGCACTTTGGGCTGTTACTTACTGAGTGATGAACACTGCTGAACATTCATATACAGCGTTTTGTGTGGGTATGTTTATTTCTCTTGGATAAATACCTAGAGTGGAATTGCTGAGCCTGTGTTATTAACTTTATATTGGGCCTTTTGAGGAACCACCAGGCTATTTTCTAGAATATTTTGTCCCAGATTATTTTCTGAGACGGTCGCACTGTTTTACATTCCCACCAGCGTTGTGTGAGGCTTCAGTTTCCCTGCATTCTTGCCGACCTCTGTCATTGGCCGTCCTTTGCCTCTAGCCATCCTAGTGGGTGTGAAGGGGCACCTCGTTGTGGTTTCGGTTTGTAATTTTCTGGTGCCTAATGGTACTGAGCATCTCTTCATGTACTCACTGCCCATTGTATATAGCTTCTCTGGAGAAACATCTATTCAGATGCTTTGCCCATTTTTAAAAATGAGGTTGTCTTTTTGTTACTGAGTTTTATGAGTTCGTATATATTCTAGATATGAGTCCATAGTCAGATCCATGATTTGTAAATATTTTCTCCTATTCTAGTTTTTACTTTTTTGATGGTGTCCTTTAAGGCACAACAGTTTTAATTTTGATAAGATACAATTTATTTAAAATATTTTTCTTCTGTTGCTCATGCTTTTGGTATCACACCTGAGAAACTGTTGCCTAACCCAAGTCACAAAGCTATCGCCCCTGTGTTTTGTAGTTTGCACTGTTACACTCAGGTCTTTGATCCATTTGGAGTTCATTTGTCTATGTGATGTGAAGAAGGCTTTCAAGTTCATTCTCCCCCCAAACCGCCATCAGTCAGGGTCTACGGGAAGAACCAGTAGGTTCTGTAGAGGAATACTGCGTGGAGCTGGTGTGCGAGATTCTTGGGGCTGGGGTTCCGTGGGGTGGGCTGCGGCGGGGCGGACCGGGCCTCTCGAGCGTGAGCTGAGTGAAGCTCCTGTCACTGTCCGCGGTGGCACTGTTTCGGGCGGGGGTGGGGGTGGGGCTGTGTCTCAGCTCTGCTAAGAGCTTTAACTGACGGAATCAGATCCACGAAGATGATCTAGAACAATTTTCTTCATGTAAAAATAAACTGATTATAGACTTAATTACATCTACAAAACACCTTCTGAGCTACACCTAGATTGGTGTTTAATTGGATAACTGGGAACTCTAGCCCAGCCCAGGTAACATGTCAACCTGACCGACACAGTCCACCCCTTAGGAACTGGGCATCCTTGTCCGCCTCCTGAAACCACAGCTGATTTCCAAGTGAGGGCAGTGGTCAAGTCAGACGTCTGCCTGACGTGGCACAGCGGCCCTGCCTGCGGCGGAGAAGAGGGGTTTGTGCTCTCCCTTTCCGTATTGCGAGAGTTAAATGCTGTGTTGCAGGGTAAACTCATTAGTATGTATTATGATAACGGGGGAAGAGAACAAAATGAGGAAGAAATAGTTGTTATAGCTCTCATTCCTTTGTTTGTTTTTCTAAAACACTGGTTTGGATCATGGCACTGAGTAAGGCCACAGGGGGCAGTGCCAAGCAGTTTGAAATCTAAGACTTACCTGGTCTTTCCACCCTGGCTTCTCCGTCTCCCCCACATCTCAGGGGTGTCAGACCCCTCGCCCCGTAAGTCCTGGGGTCCCAGCTTTGCTGCTTGGCTCGTGGTGGTTTCCTCCTGGACGCCGCTCCTGGCATTCTCTGTCTCTGAATAAAACCTTGCTTGTTGTCTCTGCTTATGTTTTAATGTATTAATAAATCACTTGTCTCTAAGACACTTGAATGTTTCATTAGCACATTATAGACATGCACCTTATTATGGCTGGGTGTTTACCTGTTTTCCCTTGTTAGGTTGTGTGCCACTCGAGAGTAGAAACTATCCGTTTTTGTATTTTTTAAAGACTTTTTAGTCCAGTGCTTTACACGGTGTGTTTCATTCAGTGCTTGTTGAACGAGTGCTGTGACAGTCAGCAGTCTCACCAGGGAGAGGTGTTTCTGCAGAGCCCGAACAGAGCCCTGTTCCCCGTCCTTCCCTCTGCTGGTGAGGTTCTTCCTGTGTCCGCGTCGGGCACACCGCAGCGGGCGAGCACCCTGTCCTTTGTTCTGGTTCAGCGATGGATTCTCTTTAAACTTGACATGTTTCAGTTTCGGGCATGGTTATGCCTTTGTAGTGAATTTAGAGAAAACAAATAGGTGTGAAGTAAAGAGTGACCATTCCTGTCGTCTTCATCCTGCGTCCAGCCCCCAGCGCTTTATACAGTTTATAGTTTGCTGTGCACCCTTCTTGTCCTCCGCATCTAGCTGCATCTAAGTTTATCCAACATTTAAAAAAGGCTTGCCTTTTTTAACCTAACAATGTGTTGCAAAAACTTCACATATCTATACCATGTAGATGTAACTCACTCTTGATGACTGAATTGCATTCCATTTTATGCCCATAGCATAATTTATCTAACTCCTTCTACTGATGGAGTTAAATTCTACATGAATTTAAAGTTTCTTGCTGTTCTTATTCATATATATTTAACTCATATAGCATTCCTGAGGGATAGGTTGCTTGGAAGTAAGAATCTTGGGCAGTGGGCTGTGCATTTTGCTGGGTATTCAAAGACTGTTTGCTAATAACTTCATACATACATTTTTCATGACTTTGCATTTCTGTTTTTTTCCCACACCATCTCAGCAAGCCTGGAAAAGTTTGAAATTCCGGTGAAAATTCGCCTGAGCCCTGAACCGTGGACCCCGGAAACTGGTCTGGTGACAGATGCCTTCAAGCTGAAGCGCAAAGAGCTGAAAACACATTACCAGGCGGACATTGAGCGAATGTACGGAAGAAAATAGTGGTGCCCTTCAGCATCAGCTCGCTGCAGGGAGCTCGGATCAAATAGGAAAATACTTGAAATGCATGTCTCAGACCGTGAGGCGAACTCCATTCCTCATATGAAACCCAAACTGTTGTTTCTCATGACGTCACCACTTCTGACGGACAGGATGAGTAAAATGCTAAGACAGCAAACTCGTGTCTGTCTCTTCTTTCCTCCTCCCCGCAGTCACGGGCCACCTGGACTGCGCCTGTCAGCATGAGGACTCCTCTTCCGAACCGCGCTGGGGAGCAGTGATTTTAAAACCTCAAGTTTTTAAACATGATTTGTATGTTCTGTATAATGTTCAGTTTGTAACTTTTTAAAGTTTGGATGTATAGAGGGATAAATAGGAAATATAAGAATTGGTTATTTGGGGGGCTTTTTTACTCACAGTATTTAAAAATGTAAGGTTATATGTATGATGTGAAATTATGTAAATTTTAAATGCTTATGAATCAAATCACTGTTGAACAAAAGCTCTGTTTCTGTGTAATTATTGTCCTGTATGCATTTGAGAGAAATAAAATACATCCATACTTACGTTTTAAGAAATCGAGACTTTGTGAATATATGCCTGACAGCGTCTTCTTTTATACACTTATTTTTATGATGTGCAAACGAAGTGTGGTTGGTGCCGCATGGAACAAAGTCGCAGTGGAGGGCTGTGAGCTGACAGGAAAGAAGAAAACACAGCAAAGGTAGCGCCAGTGGGCAACTAGCCTCTGGTAGCTCATCATCGAGACACTCAGTCTCATAGTTAGCTGTTGAAACCAGGAAAACATACCAACTTTTAGAGTTGAAAGCAATTCTAAAAGTTAGATGGGGTAGAACTTAAAAAACAAAGGGTAGAAAGTTAGTTAGTCTTTATTCCACTGGTCGTATGTACATTGAGTTGTCTGTATTTATGATACATTAATTATGGAGATGTATTCTATCCCACTCTCTTACTTTTCATCTACATGTTTAACCTATTTCTCTTCCAAGTTAGGATTTTTTTCCGATGGTTCGCACTCGTGTGTGTGTGTGTGTGTGTGTGTGTGTGTGTATTTGTAGCTTATTGGAAAAGCAACTTACCCTTTCTATCCTAAGCTTTCTACACTAGAAAACGAAATAACCTGGAATGCTTCAGATACTAGTATTCTTACTGATTTCCATGAGAACTTAATTTAATTAGATACGTTTTAATTTGTGGATTTTCATGTCCGCGTGCAACTTATTTGTGATTCTAAAGCATTGCTTGTATGATACACAAAGTCTTCTCACGTGCGCTTCTTGTCTACTGTTTGAGCATTAAGAGTGATACTGTACCAACGAAGATGTGTTCAAATCAAGACTTTAAGAAAACATAAGTACCGTGTTTTTATGTCCTGTTGGTTATTTTCTCGATTCTCACTTTTTTAGGCAACAAAAGGTGAAAACCAAGCCGAAACAAAACGTGAACGTGGGTGTGTGCGGGTGGTGGGGGTGTCAAGGGCCCAGGGGTGGTTTCTGGTCGTGTCACGAAAGTCATCTTTAGAGACATTGCACATGGTGTTTTGTCTGGTTTTGAACTTGACTTGTATTCTTTTATATTTGTATTATGTTTTGAATGCTTTTCTCTTCATAGTTTATCATAAAGTTTGGAAAAACTGCCGAGAATTAAAAATATGAAATAAATGAAATGGAAACTATCAGGATGTTGTGACCCGAAAATTAAAACAGGGTGGGTGGTGGTTCTTATGCTTTATATTCAGGGTAATTGTTGGCTCTCAAAACGATTTTTTAAAAGTTGTACTAAGGAAAAGTAAGTTCATTTCTTCAAAGGAGAGAAGTTGGTGACATCACTGAATCAGAATAAAAGTTGTTTCTTCCCAGAAACATCTCATAAGGCTGGTTTAATTTGTATCTAATTCTATTTTAATCGTTGTTTAATAATTTCAGTCCTAAAACATCAGATGCCAGGGGTCAGGTGTCAGGGCAGAATATGAAATGAAGTAGAATCCCTTTTCAAACATTACTTTCTAAACCAAACCCCCTACAGTGACTTGAAAAACAGTATCTTTTAATATTACCCTTTCGAAAAGAAAAAGTTGGTTGATGAAAAAAAAAACCCACACCCAACAACTGTAATTCTATTATAAGAAATACTGCTTTAACTAGCGGGTACTGGAGGAAAACCAGGACTTGGAGTAAAATGGCCATGTGTAATGCACATCAGTACACGGATTGTGGGTGCTGGGAGGATGGTTCTTGAGAACTGTCTGGAAATGCGCTGAGGGAGGAGTTCTTTAACCTTTCCTGTGTGGGTGAGCTCCGCCGTTCACGGCACAGCCTGGAGGCCATCCTCCCCTCCCTTTCCCACGGCTTCACTCCCCGCTAGTGGTGTTTAGCTTCAACTTTGTCAAAAAGTTCTTGCCGATAACTAAACTTTCTAAGTACTACCTTGTTTTTAAGGGACGGGTTTGATAATCCACAATTTCTCTAAAGTTTGCAACTTTTGCAGTGTTTAAAAACATTAACTTGGCATATAACCTTGGGGCTGAAATTCACAAGATTTTGTAGTTTTCAAACTACAATGAGTCCCTGTGATACGACTTTAAAGCTTAAAGGGAACCCGGATGTGTGGGTTCTTTGGTAAAGAAATGCTGTACATCTGTAATGTGTCAAAGGGGGATCCACTTTTCAGCTGTCCCACCGGGCCACTGAAATGGGGGACACTGTACGTAGTGGTGGTTTACTGTGAGTTCCCTTTCAATGTCTTCTTGGAGATTGCTGTTTTCTGCCTGGGGAAGTGTAGAAGCTACATGGTATGGACTGTTTGTAATTTGAATGAAGTTTGAAAAATAAAGATACATGAAAACAATTCTGATATTAAAACTCATATTTTGTCCTAAAAAGGGAAAGGCTCCCTCCACCAAAAAAAAAAAAACAAAACAAAAACAAAAACCCATTCAACCCTCAGCTGACATTCCCGAAATCCTTGTTGAAAAAGGGAGTTTGGGGGAATTTTCTTCCTTGGCCTAGCCATCCAGTTGAAGGGACATTTTTGTATCCCAGAAATTCTGTTCTTACTCTTCATTTCTCAGCCTTTTTCTTAATGTGGCATATTTTGTGCCAATCTTTAATCATTTGTAGGAGAAAGAGTTCTGTGTGATGTCTCAAACCAACCGGAACAACAGTTTTAAGATCTAGCAGCTTCAGCATGGGTTTCTTGTTTTTTTTTTTTTTTTTTCAGTCCTCACCTGAGATCATGCTTTTTGATTTTAGAGACAGGGAATAGGTGAGAAAGAGAAACATCACGCGGTTGCCTCTTTACACCCCCTGACTAGGGACCGAACTCTCAACCTAGGCGTGTGCCCTGACCCAGAGTCAAACCTGTGGCCTTGTGGTGTACGGGATGACCCTCCAACTGAGCCACACCGTCCAGGGCAGTGTGGTTTTTCTCATCATTTGTGCCTCATTTCTCTGACTTGCCTCATTTATTCTAAACATGGGTCGCTCTTCCGACCACACCAAGTACATGTGTAACTTGGGGATGAAGCAGGTCTGTATTGTCACGAACCCCCAACTTCCTATTGGGGGAAAAATGGAGCTGTCAGGAAAACAGCTTGGAAAGATAGTGTCTTTTGATACTGCAAAGTTCCATGTTCTTCATCAAAACAGGAATGAAAAACCTGCCCAGCTTTCTAAATTTTATCCGGAAACTCCTGTGGTGCCAAGTGCCCTTCCTCACCATTAGAGTTAGTCACCCCCGCCCCCCCCCCCCCCCCGGGGCCCTGTTCTGGAACTTGTCACCTCCCCCACCCCCCAGAAATACTCTGCAATCCCACAACGGGGGCTGTTGCTAACCCCTGGATAAGGGGAGAGAACTGCCTTAACAGGAGGCCTGGACGTGGAGCAGGCTCAGTCTGGCTTCCAAGGAGGGCCGGGGCGGGAACTGTTCCTGCAGGAAATGCCCAGCTCTGACCTCGGCAGTGTGCTCTCGGACGCCTGCCTATGTGGTGCTGAGAGGTGGGCCCTGTGACCCTCAGCTGCCCAGCCTTGCTGTGGGGCTGCTGTCCTGGCCGGCCAGGGCACTCTGCTCAGCTTTGGTCCTGACACCATCATCACCAGCCTCTCTGGGTTTGGATGATTTCTGCTTCAAGAGGAATGCCGCAGCCCTGGCTGGTTAGCTCAGTGGATTGAGCTCGGGCTGCGAACCAAAGTGTCGCTGGTTCGATTCCCAGTCAGGGTACATACCTGGGTTGCAGGCCATGACCCCCAGCAACCGCACATTGATGTTTCTCTCTCTTTTTCTCCCTCCCTTCCCTCTCTAAAAAATAAATAAATAAAATCTTAAAAAAAAAAAAAAGGAATGCCGCAAGACTTCCAAGAATTAGAAGTTTCCACCAATGTCAGGAGATTTGGCTGTTTCATAGCTGTGTCACAGGTATTCAGAATCTGTCTGAAACCTCGTCAGATGATCAGCAGCTCACCTCATTTGGGAAAGCAAGGTGTATCGGGCTGAAAAAGCATTTCTGTGTGTGTTGCCCATTAATTCCACTTCTGGGAGTCTAGGAAATCCCCGACAGATGTGGGCTGAGATTCCTTGCACCGAGACCATTGTGAAGTTTTTAGCAACCATCTGTTGGAAACAACCTAAGAGCCCTAATATCTAAACAGTTAAACGCCTCACTCGGTTGATATGTAGGCAACAAATGTGTTTGTACAACTGTTTATGTCATGAGAATGATTTAACATTATGAATTATTGGGGGGAAAAGGTGGGAATCAAAATTGCATAGGCCCTTCAGGTCATGGAGTGTGTGTGTGTGTGTGTGTGCGTGTGTGTGTTGCGTGTCTTTTACAGGGAAAAGCCTGGAAGGGGATGTACTGATGTGGTGATGGTTATGGAATAGAGGCTGACTTTCTTTATAAAGTTCATGCTTTTCTTACACATTATTTTACTCATGACATCACTGCTGTTATAAAAATCCAAATTTAGGAGAGTGAATTATTTAAAGGTTTATTTTCTCACCCTGCCAAAATCAACAACTTTTTAAGAAAATATGACCTTCATATTGTCCCATGTTTTGGTAAAGGAAGAACAGGAAAGAACGCCTTTTATTTTCTAGTCACGCTGCATTTTTATTGGCTTCCTAGGGCTGCCTAGCGTAATGCCACAAATTGGGTGACAGTCAAGCGGCAGGAATCCCTTCTCTCACAGTCCTCGGGGCCAGAATCCCAAAATCCCACGGTCACTACGACCGCACTCCTCTGAAACCCGTAGGGGAATCCTCCTCCCCTCTTCAGTTCGGCGGTTTGCCAGGATTTTTGACTTCCCTTGGTGTGCAGATGTATCTGCCCAACCCTAGTTCTCCACGTGGCATTCCCTGCCTGTCTTCACATCGCCTTCCCTCCGGGCGGATCTGTGCCCAAGTTTCCCCTTTTCATAAGGACACGGTCCTCCCGGGTTAGGGTCCACCCTCATGACCTGCTCTGTCTGAACCTGACCATCTACCCTGTCTGCAAATCAGGTCACATTCTGAGGTGCTAGGAGTTAGGGTTTCAGCATCTTTTTTGGGAGGACACAATCCAACCCCAAACTGAAATATTTGTATATTTCAGAGGCATTTTTCCTGTGTTAGTATACTAAGTTGATCTAATTAATTAATAAAGCGACCTTAATGGCTACATAGTGTTCCACAACATGGGTGTATCACCATGTATTTAATCATGCTTTCATTGCTGGGCATTTAGGTTATTCCAATTTTTGCTGCCAGAATCCGTGTGACGACAAACGGCCCTTGTGAACATTTTTGTGTGTAAGAGGAAACTCGAGTGTCTATAGGACATTCCCTAACAGCGGCCTAGCTAGACCACACCTTCAGCGTTTCTCAGGCTGTGCAACTGGTACTTTGTTTTGAATGGATGTGTCTTGATGCCTTGCGTAAGTTTAAATTCCTGAGGTGTGACACTTGCGTGATTGTTTGTATTCCCCTCATTTAGTCTAATATATTTCTCCTAAGAGATTCTGAGTGTCTGCTACAGTGTCAGTTTCCTCCATCATCGGTCATTTCGTCCTTCAATCCGAGCTCCACTGCGGGGAGCAAGGGGCACGAAGGTATGCCGTGTGACCTAGGCAGGCCTTGTCCTGGGAGCGTCTGTGGATTCTGTGTCAGGTGAGGGTTTTGTTTGTTTATTTATGTTTTGTTGTGTATTTTCCCCAGCTGTCTCCATCCTCCCGTCCTCCTTTCCTTTTCTTTCTGATCCTAAATAATAATTTCATATGCCTTTAAGTCACCTGCGGAACTGCTGTGTCCCACCCTCTCCCGGGAATACGCAGAGAGGAACAGAAATGAATGCAGCACCATCACTCAAACAGAGGCTTCCGCAGGCATTTGCCACGGAACCTGGAGACAGCTGTGCCTTCGTGGGTCTTTGTTCCCTCCTCCGCAGCCTTTAGAAGCAGTGGCAGGAACGGCGGGCATAATTGATGTTGTCTGCCGCCGTGGGCCACCCACGCCCCTTGGGTGACTCGCCAGCCCCCTGACGCCGCCCACCATGCACGCTAACATTCACCGTTCACCGCCGCGTCTCCCCACGGCAGCCCAGGCGCGGAGCCGTTCTCGCACAGCGCACGGCGTCGTGACAGGCCGGCGTAGCAGGAGACCTGCTTTCACAGGTGGGGAGGGGGAGGGACACAGACCCCC